GCACACAAAATCATTTAGCATTTTAGGGGGTTGTGGTATCACAAATTTTGAGAACCCCTGCTCTAATCCATGTTCCAGTAATCACTTACATAAAGATGTGATGTTAAGACCCCGCGAGTGGAGGGTTTGGGGAACCCGACCCCCTCCACTGTCAAGGGACAGACGTCCCTGTCTTAGGGCCCTGGGTCGGGGCTCGGAGGGTGGGAGGGCCCGAGCCCCCTTCCCGGCCCCCTCAGGCCCGTCGGAGCGCGGGCCGACAACGCCTACGGTTGGGACCGCGAGCGGGCAGTCAAGCACGAAACCCAGGGAGGACACCCGAACTTGGGGTGGCCGCCCGAGACTTGGGAACACTCGGTGACACAGGCTTTGTAGGCTTATTGCATTATTGCCTTAATTTATACCTAATCCTCTTCTTCTAGCAAATAGCTAGACCCCTAGGCAACCATACTAAGGGGGATTGGAAGTCTTTACTGCAGTGATGTCTCTAATCCATGTTATAACAATTACTTACATAAAAATGTGATAGAAAACTATCTAAAAACTCATTTTTATTTTACCGTAGGTATACACAAACCTTTTAATTTTGAAATAAATCTAAATGCCTGTTCATATTCTTTTGAGCAGGTGTTGCAGTTTATTCATATTTAAGAGCTTATGGTTTAATTTATTGCTCACCATTTTAGAGTTAGATGTTATCACTGACTTTTTAGCTGTTATGTTCCCAGCACTTATCAGCTCAGAGGTATTGCTCATTGCTTGCTGGTTAGGGGCTAAGCTCAGCACACCAGATTTAGTGGTTTTCTCTAGGAATGTCAATGTATAGATGACTACACAATTAACCAATAAGCCTAAACTTATTGGTTAATCCTGTCAATTGTATGCATTCTCCCCTCTCATCCGCTGCCTCTATTAGAGGCAGACTCCAGACCCAGGCGTGGCCTGAGGAGTGTGCAGAGAGGGGGTGTGACAGTCAGACGGGGCCATGGCTGGCACAGTGTGTGGCTTTTGCATGGGCATGTGTGCATGACATGTTCCAGTCAGATGGTGTCCTAGCAGCAGTGCCAGGCGGATACTTGGGTCCCACTCCTGGAGAGCAACACCCCTCACCTCCCCAGCCGGAGCCTGCAATGGCCCAGACAGTCTGAGAGGGCCAGAGGGAAGAGCCAGGCGGGACAGGGACTCGGGCTCAGGGCCCCACCCGTTACTGCAGCGGGAGCTGGCAGACACTGAGATGGACACGCACCCTCTCAGGGGGGCCTCTTGTTTTGACAGTTCACATATGGGAACCCCACTCCAGCTCCCATGATGCACTGATGCGGGCGGGGAGGATTGTAACTCCTGTGGCGCGTTCTGGCATGAGGCAGGAGCTGTGCGTCTCGCATCCCTCACAGGGCAACAAACAGCAGTCAGGTGGGTGCTGTGAGTTCTCACAATGTAGCGTCATGCCAACACGTGCGGCACGGGGTGCCTGTCTGGGACAGAGACTGGAATCGGGAGTTTCCTGCGGCGGTGCAGCCAGCGTAGCCCACCAGCTCCCGCGGTACGCGGGGCAGAGGAGGGACAGCAGAGTGGAGGCTGGAACCGCTCCGACAAGGCACCACTCTGCTTAGGGTTGCCAGGTGTCCGGTTTTGAACTGGACGGTCCAGGGTTTCAGCTTTTTCTACGGGAAACAAATTGAGAAAATAGAAATGTCGGGTATTTTCTAAATCAGATGGAATGCAGATTGTGATGTCATGTCAGGTGTGTCTGGTATTTGTGGTGAAACCATCTGGCAACCCTAGCTCTGCTCCTTGCTTGGGGGGGGCGCCCTGCCTCTGGGGCAGGTCCTGACGTCACAGGGAGCGGGTTCCCCAGGAAATCCCAGTGCCCGCCGGGAGACGGGAGAGAGCCCCCACCAGTCACTGCGGCCCCTGGCACCGCGGTAGCGGCTTTTC